AACCCCACAAGTCACACACTACTACGTAGAACAAGATTTAAAAGCTGGCAATTATTCATTAATATCTGAATTATTAGTGATGATTCATGCTCAGTAACAAGGTTTACCCTTCAATTGTGTAATAATACAGGCTATAATGAGGAAAATATTACATTTAAATATTTGGGGAAATATTAATGACAATCCTACCTTGAGGATAATATTTAAGCACAATTAATTTATTTCCCCTCAGTGTGATGTCAGCACTCATCAGCACTTTGGCCCGAAAGAGCTTTGATATGTGCTTTTAACAATAGACTGGAAAAGTAAATTATCAAACCATCATTTAGCCAAAACATGGTCTTCATACTAACAAAGATGTGCTGAAGCTAAATATGGCCAAATGATTAGCAAATTGTTGTATTATGTTATTATGTTAACAAAATATGTGTGGGTATTATTATCTTATCTTATTAAGCATCAAAAGAAAATTGAGGTAAGGTGAGGTGTCCCCAAACCTTTGACAGGCAGCACACACATACACACACATACACACACACACACACACACACACACATATAAACACACTTTAATTAGGCTAGCTGGGGCGGCGTATCCTTCATCACTTGCATTAGCTGGCGGGAGCCTGGAGGATAGCTAAGCTATGCGGGGAATGTCAGAGGGGGGCTCAGCGGGGCACCCACATCCCCCCACTGAGAGTGCAGCTTATTACAGCCAGAGCTGCCAGCTGCCAGGGAGCATGACCAGGACTGGGACAGAGCAAGAATGGGAGAGAGGGAGTGTGCTAGGGTCTTATATGAATAGTTTGGCAAAAAATCAAGTTTACAGAATTTCCCAGATCAGCCAAGACATGATTGGTGTCTAAAATTTACTTACTCATTTTACACTGGAGTTATGAGGCTTATGTAGCCAACAAGTAATGAAAGCTTATGCCAATTAGCTTCATACCTAAACCACCATACATTTTCCATAAACTGCACTGAGTTTATTTCAAATAGATTTGCTTATGGCTTGTGACCCTGCATGACTGTTATCTAAAAAAATGCACAAAAGTACATCACACAGCTAAAAACACATAAGCAAGTCTGTTTGAGATTACACTGGGTGTAGTTTGAAGTGAATGATGTAGGGATGTTTGTAGTTGGTGTTAAGTGGTGGGAAACACTCCCTCTGTACAGCAGATTAGATTCTGATTTCCCACCTAGGGAAGCACATGCTATAAAATAAGAGTGTATGAAACAAAAAAACAAGTCCTTGGGCAAAACTGTAAAACTACAATCACCTAACTGAGTAATGTAATTAAATTATAAATTGCTTTAGATAAGATCATCTGCCAAATGCATCAATGTGGTTTTGCTAGAGCCTCTGAAGCTGTGCCCCCATGGAATCGTAGATATCTTCTGCATCTTCTGATAGTTAGCTGGCCCCAACTATCAGGGTTTTGTCAGTTGCTTTCTGATTGGCTATCTGCATGTCCATGTATGTGTTTTGTATTATTCAAACAGGAAACAAAGTTTTGTTTTCCTAACTAAATTCTACTCAGCAAACAGCTGCCTACACTGGACAAAAAATAAACCTTTCAGAGCAAGATATATTCATTCTATGTATGTGGATTTTCACGGTCGCCTCCCCCTACATGCCACGCTAAAACAGCAGGCTGTGACTGGTCGTTTTGCATGTCAGTCAAACAGCTTTTTCTGACTAGGTACGCAGTTCTCTTCACATTATGTAGCAAAAAGCACCAGACTCTTTGCCACTAGGCAGAAGTCTGGCTTGCGAGACTAGCACAATGCTAACTGGTAGCTATAAGCTTCTATTGCTTGTTAGCTGCATTAGCACATACCCCTAATGCAAGGCAAACACTTCAGACACCAGACAAAATCTTGACTGATCGACTGTTTGAAGTAAGTGGGAATACTGGGTAAATCCTATTTTTCACCAGACTATTCCTTTAAATTTTAACTGGACGCCAGCTGAGTGAGAGCTGCTGGGGAAATGTGGCCAAAGTGGGAACAAATTTGGTCCGGAACTTCTGAGGTCAAATGACAAATGGTATTCCTGTCTCCAGCTGAGTGTGGCACTCCTAACCAGTCAATAATATTGACTGAGTTAATCAGTAAACTCATCTGCCATGATTTGAGTGGCCCTCTGTTTGCTTCTGACTAATCTGTGCACTCTTTGTCTGGCTTTTTCGTGACTTGGGGAGGTTCACATGACACTTAATGTCATCATTCGCTTAGAGGTATAGCTCAAGTAAGGGGTGGGAGTGGGGGCGGCAGGGAGAGGGAGCAAGATGTGGTAGTGAACACACCCTGAGGCCATGGCTAGTCTGGTGTCGTGGAGAACAGGGACCTTTATTCAATTCAGCCTGGCATCATAAAGCCACATTAAAGACAACACCACGTGACCCGCGCCAGAACCGCCTTGAAGATAACGAGGCAGACATTTTATTAGCTGCAGTGTTTCTGTAAAAGCAGAACCAGAAGTGTTTCCCGTTCCAGAGGTGCTTGACGGAGATGCTGTAAACCATTACCTGTTTATGTTGGTTTTAACTCTAGTTTTTAAGATGTTTGTTCACAACATAGGCCTGGGAAATTTAGGTGTTTATTTAGCATGAATATATTTGCCTCTAGGTGCTGTGCGTGTTGTCAGAACAGTGCTAGTTTCATTGAAGTGGCAGAATGTAGGCCATGTGAATATTGAATGAGCTCTAGTCTGTGGTGCCTGAGCTAATGGAGTTCACCTGGGGAGCATGTCAGAAAGTTTAGTTGAACCTACAGTACTGTATAAAAGTGAGAGACCCTTCATTTATTACATTTCCAGTCGAAATGGCCATTAAGAACAAGTTTTTCATGTTTCAGGAGATATTTCTGAGGATATTAGACAAAATAATAGATAATTCACTTGCATAAGAAAGGAGAAAGTACGTGAGTTTCAAAAACTGTTGTTTAAACGAAAATGATTTAAAATGATTAAAAGATACAGAGAAAATGGGCAGGCATGGTAGACCACCAAAAGGCCTGGTAGACCACCAAACAGTGCTTAATGCTTTTATCTGTGAGAGATAAGATAAAATCAATCTCCACTTTCCAGCTTGACTCTTCAAATCTGAAAAACTCCACAGGTGTTTGTCAATCCATCCACTGTGAGAAAATTTAACACTATAAGTCTGAAAGGATGTGTAGCTGTCAAGAAGCTCTTACTGAGAAAAGGAAATAGACAACAAAAAAAGAACATTTACAAAACAAACAAAGAAGCTGCTGGTGTGAGTCTAGACCTCAATATCACTGAATGTGTTTAGGATTACTTGGATCATGAAAATATGTCCAACTTACTAAGGGTATACACTAAATACTGAAAAGATATCATATCACATTGTTAAGGCTTCTGTGTAATTGTCTATTAAATATATGTGTTATTTTTAGAAAGAATTTTATGAGGCATAGATCTTGTCAATTCCATTGCTAAGCTAACAGATATCTATTGTCCAGTAGTACGTCAAAGGATGTTGAGGGCTTACTTTTAGTTGCTAGTCTCTCATTATTCCTTTTTTTAGTGCTTTTCTCACAAGTGTTTTCTCACTGCTTGTTAAAATTCTGTTCAAGCTTGTTAAACAGCCCCTGAATATGTCATTTACACGTCTTTTCTCCAACACTAACTGTCAAACAAGTGGAAACAATTGAAACTGCTCAGATGTGCACACATAAAACTAAAACGTAATTGCTGAGCAAAGGAAAAGAATTCCTGTCAACACTCACTATTGACAGTGTGCACTCATCTTTGACAAGGCCGTAAAGGTCTACATTATAAATGCCTTTATTCGGTTCACTGAGTGTTTCTCAATAGTAGTGGAATTGTCCAATTCCATGCCATGATTCAGCATGAGATATGGAAGAACTTGGACAAAAGGTATAATTTCATGCACTGTAGGCACAGAATCTTATGTACAAGTATTGGAATCACTTTGGAATTATTAGATTGTAGTATTTTTATAACAGTATTATAAAAGGCACAGTATGTACTACAGATAATGTTCATATTTCTACAAAATTGCCATCAGCACTTGAAATACTGCAAAAATATTCCTGGCATAAAAAAGGGGACAGGTTTCCATTCCAAAAGGTCTGTCACATCTGGTGAAAAGTCAGCCATCTGAAGCTGAGCTGGGCTTACTCTGTGGTATTTTCCCCCAAGGAGGTTGTGCTGGCCTTCATACTGCCCATGAGGCCACCATTTCCCATTGGGAGAATACACTCGACTTACCAACAGTGACTCATAAGAGGGTAATCTTCCTTCTATCAGTCCTCCAAAAACCAAGAGGACTCAGCTGAACCCAAAATCAACGCCCTTCTTTTGGTGAATAATTCACACTTTGGCCATTAAATGGAGTTGTCTGAGGCAGACAGAAAATTATGTCAAAGAATGTGTGCTTCTGTAGCTGTGTTTTATATCTGTGTTTCCATGAACTTGCCTTCCTTATTCCTTCCTTATAAAATAATGTAATGAAAAACGTCAAAATGTTCTTTCCTCAGATGACAGCTACACTTACATCTAACAGTGTGAGCAATAGCCAGGAGTCTAATTAAAATGCTGCATTTACATTAGTAATCAGGACTGAATTTTGAGAAAAATGGGCAACATTTTTATTATTCCTTAAGAAAAGGGTTGCTAAGCAAACTGCTTGAGTATATTTTGCTCTCTGTACCATCCTATGCAGTTCTTATATGCCATCAATGTGAATTCTAAGAGGTCTCCTCATAAATCATTTATACCCAGGATCAGATTCCATAGGTCAGAGTTCAACAAACCCATTATCTTTCACATTTTATCATGAGCCAATCTTGCATTATGCATGATAGTCCCATGCAGTTCTTTTTAGCTTGATGCAGATTGCAGTTTTCATTGTAGATTGTGTAATGTATATTATATGGCTTGAAGCATTTATTTACCTTTGTAAAACAGTGCAATCTGAGCTCATTTACATTTCTGTTTGTTTTCAGAAATCCTCCAGGATTTCAGAGGATGACAGTGAGCTCAAGAGTGAGAAGAGCCTGAAGAGTGTTAGTTTCTTAGACCCAGTCAGTGTGATCTCCAGTGGCAACATGGAACTTGAGACCCAAAGTGAGAGCCAGCATAACCATGCAACAAGTGGGCAGAATGGTGTGAGGCACACTGGAGAGGCGCTGGACAGTGAAGTCGCCCAGGAAATCCGTTACCTTGATGAGGTGCTTGAGGCCAACTATTGTGACCCTGGAGCTGAGATGACTTCAAATGGAACTTGTTCCCCTGAGCTCCAGACAATCACTGTTGAAGGAACTGGGCCATCTGTTCATGTTTCCGATGTGTCATCTTCAATTAGTCATGATGTAACTGTAGAGGGGAACAAACAGACCACCTATGTTGAGGACACTTTGAATAGTACCAAACCAAACGGTCATTCAGGAATCATGAGTGAATGTAGCAGATCACCTGAGTCAGGAACGACAATCAAGAAAGAGGCCCGTTTTGAGCTTCGAGCTTTCCATGAAGACAAAAAGCCATCCAAGCTCTTTGAAACACCAACAGAGAAAGAAATAAGGGTGAAGAAGGTAAGGCCTTCAGAAGAGATTGCTGAGCTAGAGAAGGAGCGCTTGGAACTTATTCGAGATCAAGCAGTCAAGAAGAATCCAGGGATAGCAGCGAAATGGTGGAATCCACCCCAGGAAAAGTCACTGGAAGATGAGCTGGAACCAGAACAACTGGAGTCACTCAGAAAGTATGAGGAGAGAAAGAAGAAGAAGCCTGAACCCAGCCGAGTTCCACAAACCTCCCCTAAACAAACAGTCTCCTTCGTCCAACCTGATGTAGGAAATAAGGAAGATGTAGTGGTTCAGGGCATTGATTTCTCAGCAGCACGCAAACAGTTTCTCCAGATGGAACACAGCAAACAACAGCAGCAAGCCATGAAAAGAAGTGTGGCTCCCCAGATCTACTCTGCCAAACCTTTTTCCAGGACCTCAGATGTTGATAAATCAAGCAGCTCCATCACAGTGACCAGCCATGGTAGGGTCACTGTGGAGGATGGAGAAATGAGCCAGGTCAGAGGGGTTTTATGCAGTTCTGGAGATTCCACTACACATACCACTGACAATGAGGCAAAGAATGATGACTTTACCTGTGCCCGGGCAGTGATGACTATCTTCAAGGATGAAGAGTCTGATTTGTACCAGCGGTCCATGAACAGTTGCTATCATCCTGAGGAGATTGACTCTGGGTTGGATGACCTGTCCCTCAGGTCTCAGGACACCACTGTGCTTGAGACCCTGTCCAATGATTTCAGCATGGATAACATAAGTGACAGCGGTGCCTCCAATGAGACAATGAGCGCCTTCTTGGAAAACTCTGCTGGGGACTACTCCTTTCCCTGTACTCCAATGGCCACAACACCTATCAACGGGAAGCTGGAAGGCAGCACAAAATCACCAGGTGAGCAGAGCAGCTCTTGTACAGGAGACAGCCTGACCGAGGAGGAGCTGGAATACCATGCAGGCATCCTGGTCCAAAACGCAATCCAGCAAGCTATTGCACATGAGGCCGACAAATGGCAACCACTCCAGGCCATGCAGCAGTCCTCCCCCATCTCTGAGAGGCATGTGGAAGTTTCTGAACCCTCGGCACCTGAAGAGAAATCCCCCTGTACTCCACCTTCTAAAGAGACATTCCCCATGGAAGAGAAGAAAACCACAGCTCCTAAAATTACTGTACAGGTGCCTGCAGTCCAAGCCACTCCGGCTATTCCAGTGAACACTTATAGGCCCCCGAGTCCTTCTCCCCCACCAAGTGAGAAGTCAGAGTTCAGCTATTTCAGTAAGTACTCAGAGGCAGCAGAGCTCCGAAGCACAGCATCTGTGACCCGTGCCCAGGACACTGAAGTTACGTCAGGGCCCTTCAAGCTGCGCTCGCGCAAGCAGAGGACTCTGTCCATGATTGAGGAGGAGATTCGGGCGGCACAAGAGCGAGAGGAAGAGCTTCGGAGGGAGCGGCAGGCCCAAAGCTTGCGTCCCAACCCCAATCCTACTGTCAAGCAAAGGACAAACAGCCTTCCAGCCAAACTGGTCCTCACTGGGAAAACTGCTCCAGGTAAGTCTATTTCTCAGATGACTTGACTAATGAGAGCAATAGAATTCAAGTGTGAAATTACTTTGTGCAAGAGCCATATTCTCATGGTATTTCACAATTTACGACCTTATTAAAAATGGCTAAAGTTACATAAAGCCCTCTTCGCAGTAGTTATCATCAAGCTGAGATAGAGAACTTATGTACTTAGTGAGCTGTTTAAAATGGCAGCACTAAACTGAAATAAGAAAAAAAAAAACTCTGAAATCAAGATTTAAATTGTTAGTCCTCCTAGTTTGCTCCTTCATCTATAGATGACAAACCACAGAAAACACATGTAGACAGATCTGTTAATTAGAACCATTTTATGTTAAGTTTTGAGAGTAAAATACGACTGTCTGTTCAACATGCCTATAAATGCTGCAGTGTCCTTCAGAGGGCATGTGTTTACATGGTTTGTTTTGAGAAAAGTCTGATTGCTAATTGAAAACAGCAGCTACACCCCACAAACAAAACTTTCAACTAATCAGCTCCGTAACTCAACCTCTGACAGTAGTTAGCCACTGATTGCGTGTCATATTACAAGACTCCCTCAGATTTATGGGTTTCTTTAAAGGAATTCCTTTAGTTTAAGTTAGTCACAAGTACTGCCCTGTGGGCTGCAGCTGCTACACACTGTGAGGCACTTTTGCAAGCTGACTTTGTTTATGGTGTTTAAAAATAATGCAGCACACTATCATTCAGCTGTCTGAGACAGATGGCTAATTTGAGTTGAATGCTAATGGTTGAGACATTTTTGGTGTAGTGATAATCAGCACACTTTTACACAATTTAAAATGCAGGTTGACAAACATCTGGTATGGTCACATTACCTTTGGAATGGCCATTGGGAATGGTAAGGAGAAACACACTGATGTTTCTCAGTGAGTTACTGCCCTCTGGTGGTGTCAGAATGAATTGCATGGGGATTCTAAGAATGCCCTTAGCATGCTAGTAGTTACAATCTTTGGCGTGTCTGGGGGGACCACGGATGGCACCGGCCCTCACAGAAATTTGATGCCCCCTCACAGAAGGTTGTCACGTTACCAGTCCTGGACAGCTGGGTTTCATCCATCACTTTTTATTTAAAAAAAAACAGAATAACAGGCCACACTTACTGCAACAAAACTAAGACCTGTGATTTAGCTCACTAGTTTAAAATTTAATTTTGTTGTTTAACTAGATATCATATCTAAACTATATCTCATAACTCCATAATTAATATGACACCCTCTCAATTGGATTCTGAAACTTGGTCTTGACAGTCCGCTGGTTACAATGACAAGGTTTATGTTCATTTAGCTTAGACCTCATCACTCCAGTGTGGGAAGGACTTTCAGCCAGTCATTCTCTTGCCAATTGTATGTCTTGATGAGGTTCCCAATCTTCATTTCCAGTGGAGTTATTTCTATTTCAGTAATTAATACACAGCCAGCCTAAATAAGGGACTACAGTCTCTTAAATATCTCTTAAAAGTGTTGGGAGCTGCAACATAATAACATAGAGAAAATGCTTCAGAAACCGGTGATGACAGACAGAGGCAGGTTCCTGTAACAGATTAAGCTCAGGCTTTGAACTAAACTACACTTTAAATGAAGATTTTCATTGTAAATAAAAAGGCCTGGTTAGGGTATAGGCTTAATCTATTTCTGGAAAACTGACTGTTACTATTTAGAGATGTGTTCCCTCATTAAGTGAGACTCTGTTTGGTTTGGAGTCCTGTCTTTATAACGTACTGTGATCTCTCAAGGGATTCCTGTCCTGTTGTCTCCCCCTTCTGGGAAGACTACACATGAACTCTCCCTGGCTTCACCCACTTGCACACCTGCAAGTGATCGAAGACTCATTTACTGCCTTTTATATACCCCTCTGTTAGGTTCAGTTGTTTGCAAAGTCTCAGACTGTGTCCAAAACTACATACTGCTATACTATACATACTATATAGATGAATGGATTTCTAATGGTGGCATACAAGTTTTAACATACAAATTAGTATGTTATGTAGTATAGTATGTGGTTTTGCATACAGCATCTGTGTGACATTCCGTGTACCAAGTCGTGTTACTTTGTTGTTTTTTTCCTCTGTTTTGGGTGGATCTGCCTCTAATGTTGCTTGTTTTCTTTGACCCCTGCCTTTTGTGACTTGGACTGCCTGAATGATTATTGGACTGCCCCAAATAAAGCCACTTTTACTGGCTTGCATGCCTCCTATGTTACAATTGCAGCTGGGCTTTCGGCATGTTATGCTGTTTTGAACTACTCTGGACTCCATAGCACCTCCTCGTCTTAAATGAGGAATGAAAGTACCGAGCTTCAAGGCAAACAATAAACGTTTTTTTCACGTTCTCTGCTTTCCACACTACTTGGGACATCATCAAGAATGCGTCTTAGTTTCTCATTTCCGCTGTTCACCGTTCACTGACGGGAAGATGAGAAAAGACCAGCTGGAACAAATTTTCTTGGAAGAAAAATCGCAGTCCAATTGGGAGTCAATTCTCCACTCATACACTCACCAACATATTTAGTGTTGAGAGGCCTGGACTGAGTAATAGTTCTTTCAGTGGATCTTTCTGCATTCTTCCTTTGTTTCCTCAGTTTCTCTAGAATTTTAATGAAACTGCTGACCATAAAAGTTGGGCCAACAGAGCTGAGACCTTTTCTCAATCACTTCTTTGGTTGCATTTTCACTGAGACAATTACAATAAAGTATCAAACTGTATCTTAAAGACATCATAATTTAGCTAACTTTGAAAAGCTCATTTAAGAAAGCTGTTGGTTCCATTAAAGCTAACTGTTAGGTTTTGTGCCCTACTAGGCTTGCCACATTAGCACTTTAGCCAACTAGCCCATAAACCTCCTACTACATTGTATTATATCTTTATTTGCATGTTTCTTTGCCTTTGCTCAGGTAAAATTGAGAAGATCCGCACAGCACCTCCAGTATCCCCTGCCTCCTCAAATGGTGCTCCCTCCCCTCTGTCTGATTTGGGAAGCGATGACTCAGGTGGCAGCCAGCGGCCCAAGAACTTCATGCAGACCCTGATGGAAGATTACGAATCGCACAAAGTCAAGCGCAGAGAGAAGGCAGAGGACAACAGCGTGAGTGTGACAATAAATCAAGAGCATTTCTTTGGCCTTAGTAGAAGCATAGTTGAATTACTGCCATATAAGACCTGTCTTATGGTGTCTTGATGAGATCGCTTGATTAAATTCCTCAGTTTGCCCTTTAATACTTGTGGACCTCTGAAGTGGTGCCGTCATTCCATAGTTCACATCATGCCCATATTTGGAACTCTGGGTATAAGCAGATTTCTTTATGGAAAAAATGAAGAGCGTTTTCAAAAATTCCTGCTGTTGCACACTGTGATAAACTAAAAGCCAGTATGTTTTGCATTTGTGTATATTTTCCTCCAAATGTCACTAAATCCTCTGGATTGCCAGGTTGTTAATGAGTCAGTATATGAATATGAATTCCTTGTATGGGTATGATGCTGACTAGAAATAGACATGCAGTTTCAGTAGTGTATAGTCGTATGCAAAGGTTTGAATACCCCTGGTCAGATTTCATATTTTGCTCATTTTAAGTGAAATAAAGCCAACAAATTCTCTACAGTAAACAAACTTAAATATGCCATTTTTAATTTATATGCTGTATTAAACATACTGAAAAAACAACAAAATAATAATTTTGGCATATGGCACATTTCATGTTTTTTTTCTTTTCACAATATGTTAAATTTAGCAAATAAACATTCTGCATTATAATGTGCAGAGGTGTGAACTCTGTAGAGGATGTGTTAACTTATTTTGACTTAGAATATCAACAAAACATTTGATTAGGGCACCCAAACTTTTGCATACAACTGTATGCTGACCAGCACACTTACAACTGGGACAGTGGTTTTACCTTTGGTTTAGTGAAAACACTCTCTTGACTTAAAATAAGTATTTAATACTTTACATGGGTCATTCATAAGTTATATTACATTATCACAGTCCAGAGTGATGCAAGACTGTGGCTTTAGAGAGCAATTCCTCTTTTGCATCCCATGACCAAAGGTTTTCAGACAGAGCAAGTGAAGGGACTTTCCAGCTCAGCTCAAAGAGAATTAAAACAAACTAAGGCACATGAAAAAACCTCTATGAAGTACTCGCTGACTTCATATGAATGAAAGTCTCTTTCCCTTTCACCTCTGACAAGGCAGGGGGAATTTGGAAATTGCATGGGAAAATTAAAGCACATCTCTGTTGCAAAGCTTGCTTGGTTCAATGTTATTTATGTTATCTGAACTCAAGATTTGGCAACAACTGAAAGCACCAGACTGTCTTTTTTTTTTTTTCGAGGCAAGTTCACATTACATTCAAATGCATTGCCTTTTATTGTAAGAATCAATGACATTATTTAGTGATCTTATTAGGCTCTTATTTTTATTCATGATACCCCAATTTATTATGTCTGTCTATATAAGCCAGTACAAGCGCTTTGTTGATAATAAAACACATCTGAGATCTTTACAACACAAAAGGCAGGATTATTTTAAGAGGGAAATTTCTTTTCTAAATCTGCTCTCTATTTCTTATTGACTAACGCTGCCTCTTTCCTTCTTGTCAGTATGCCCGTTTATTGCTCGCTAATGATGTTACATCTGAGGTACTGGTACTTGCTTGCCTGAAAGATCAATGCTTTTCTCTTTATGTCACTGCATGTATTTCTTTAAATACATTTGTGGCAACACTTTATAAGAACAGGCCCTGACAAACAACATCTTAATCATTTTTCTAATAGCTAATAGCTATGCAACTGTTACATATCACTGTTGTCGGAAGAAAACCTTGTATCTCCAAAATGGTAACTTTACAGGAGAAGGAAAATACCTACTTTACTTTTAATGTAAGTCAGTAGAACCTGATGTTTTTCCAAGTCATTTTGGGCCGTTTCTTTTAGTCCATTTATCATGAAATTTACATACAATGTAAAGGGCGACAGGCATTTTCAGATTATTTTAAAAAACTGAAAAATGTCAAAAATGTAGATACGAGGTTTTCTTCCAACAACAGCGATATGCATTAATACAATTTAAATTAACAAGCATTAACTTAGTGCCATACAAATAATAATTACAATTATTTACAATATTGAATCCTACTTTTTAATGATGTTTGTAAAGAAAGTTATTTTATACTCTAACTAATGCTAGCTAATAAATGAAACATCAAACATTTCTTATAGAAACTTCATATTTAGTAGAATAACAATAATTACGTACATTCTGTTCTAAATGACTATAGGGATATTTATTATCTTGCTACTTTGTCATTTAAAACTAGATGCAGACAATTACTATTCCTAATGACTTTGTATGTATTAACACTATATGGCCAAAAGTATGTGGACAACTGACCATCACACCTATATGAGCTTGTTGGACATCCCATTCCGAAGCATGGACGTTAATATGGAGTTGCCCCCTTTGCAGCTGTAACAGCCTCCACTCTTCTGGGAGGGCTTTCCACAACATTTTGGAGTTTGTCTATAGGAATTTGTGCCCATTTAGCCAAAAGAGCTTTTATGAAGTGACTCACAATCAATGTTCCAATTCATTCCAAATGTGTTCAGTGGGGCTGAGATCAGGGATTTGTGCAGGCAACTGGAGTCCACAGTAAACTTGTCACACCTTGTCTTTGTGGACCTCACTTTCTGCACAGGGGCATAGTCTTGCTGGAACAGGGATAGGCCTTTACCAAACTTTTGCCACAAAGTTGGAAGCATATAACTGTCTTTCCATGCTGTAGCATTAACATTACCCTTCACTGGAACTAGGGGGCCCAAACCCTAAAAAACAGCCCCAGAGCATTATTTCTTCTCCACCAAATTTTACTGTTGGTTTTCCAGTAGGCAGCATTCTCCAGGTATCCGCTTAATCCAGATTCATACTTCTTCCAGACAGTGAAGCGTGATTCATCACTCAAGAAAACATGGTGGCATGCTTTATACCACTCCAGCTGACATTCGGCATTGCACAAAGTGATCTTGGGCCTGTGTGCAGCTGCTGGAAGGGAAATGGAAATCCATTTCATGAAGCTGCTGACGCACAGTTCTTGTGCTGATGTTGCTTACAGAGGCAGTTTGTTGAGTGGCGCAACAAAGGATGGGTGATTTTTACACACTGCACCCTTTAGCACTTGACAGCCCTGCTCTGTGTGTTTGCACGGTCTACCACTACAAGCTTCCATTTCACTTACAGTTGTCTAGTGCAGATCTAGCAGGGCAGTAATTTCAAAGAACTGACTGGTGGTAAAGGTGACATCCTATGGCTGAGCTCTACTGTCAGTGCTTGCCTATGGAGACTGCATGGCTATGTGCTTGGTTTTATACACCTGTTAGCACAGGGTGTGGCTGCAACATCTAAACTGAATAATTAGGGTTGTCCATACTTTTGGCCATATAGTGAATTAACATTATATGTATTAGCTATGAGTTATGAGTATCAAATAACTGAATAATTATTAACAAACTATTATTAATTAGTAGATTTATGTATTCAAATTAATTGTTGGTTATTTGTGTGTCACTTGTATGTAAATGGATAATAATTCACATGGTAATTTTTTTTTGCGTGTGAAACAATTAATGATAATCATAAATAAGCTTTTAAACTAATAAACTATATAGTTAATAAACAATTAAGATAATGGTTATGATGCTATTTATTAGGGCCTGTTATTACACAGTGTTACCCTTTTTTGTTTGTTTGTTTGTTCTTTGCCAGTGGGTGTGGCATGCCTCCAGTGTCAAACGCTTTGACATACAGCAAGTCATGAATTCAAATAATGATCACATTTGTGTGTGCAATGCCATCTGCTGTCATTTGCAAAATTTGAATTTGAGCATGTATCGTGCAGATGTTCAGACAAAGTGTTTGCACCTTGTGGTCTCGATTCTTAACCCATGATAAAACATCACCCACTGTTTACACTCCCTGAACCCACCCCCCAATCCGTCTCCCTCATTTCATTGACTCATAGTAACGAACAATGGATGTCCAGTCTATTCCTCATTATTTTTGCTATTTTTCTTCAGTATGTAACAATTCACTATATGTTTACACTCTTTAAAATAAAATCTTCTGAATGGTTCTTGCCTTGACAATATGGCTCTGGGATGAACAAAAACTTTAATAGGTAGAGAACCTTGACATTATTATAGTGGTTTTATGTATCAAAAACTCTCAGTATTAAACAGGCTGTTTTTATTACTGTGTTATAAGACTGTATGTAAATGAGCTCTGTTCTGATTGGCTGTCCTGTATTGTGCTTCATGCAAAAAGCACTCAAAGCTGAAACACTACTTAGAACTTCAACATAAGTGGGCAGGCCAAACGCTAACATATATGTAAATGCTGTGACATAATAAAATCAGTTCATTCAAAATGGACTGTTTTTGCTGCTTAGTTTCCATATATGGATATATGGACCATATGGACTGTGGAATGAATGATACTTAGAAACTTTAACAATACTTACATACTATAATACACTTTTTTGTTTTATAAAAGCAAAAAAGAACCAAAACAGTTTTCCATGATATGAGCCTTTAAAAAGGCCATTTAGACTCAGATCACATTTACAAAAATGCTTCTTTAAAGAGCCACCCACTGATAGGATCTTTAGGGAACCACAAGTGGTCTAAGGCATCACTCCAAAGAACTCTTTTAGCACCTTTATTTTCAAGAGTGTAACCAGCAGTAATAAAATGTGGTTAAGGCAGCAGAGAGGGCAGTAACATAATTGCTTTACCTCCTTGATTGCCCAGGAACAGAATTGTGAAATAACCATTATTTGTGGACACTGAAGGTTGGATTGGACATTCCAGTTCACTGGAATAATATACAATGGCCCTGTGATTGTCGCACCTGTTGCCAACTTCACAAAAGACTGGCCAGCAGGCCACCTGCGCTCTAACGCAGCATGAGTGTCCCTGTTCCTCTGTATTGTTTGTGAGCACCCTGTACAGCTTGTGTTTACACGCAAGACTGTATTGTGTGTTGTGCAGTGTGCATTTACGGCTCCCAGCTGTTACGGAAAATTAGACCCAAGGAAATATTGCTCAACATGTAGGATGCTTGTAGCAACTGAGGCCCAAATTGGAAGAGCATGTTTCAGAAAGTGTGCTCTGATAACTGTTTACATTGTTCTTTAATGAAGATAGCTTAGTTCAGATAGACAGCAATGGTAATTTTTTCAGCAAAGTCAAGAACATGCAAATTTTTTAATTACTTGACCTTATTTTGCACATTATTTGAACAACCTGTTTAATGTAAAACATAAGGAGACCAAAACAGTAGATTTGTTGATAATATGCTATATAATATATAATATATTTGTTTGATGACACTACTGTTTAAAAGTTTTGATTCACTGTTTTGAAGAATATAAAAATAGTTCTGTTACAGGTATATGTATCAAATGATTCTAATATGATGCTAATATTCTATATGTTTCAAGCAGTTTGTAGGTAGCTCTAAAAATGAAGAAATTTTCATTTATCAACAAAGCTATAGATGATTCCATAATAAATGGGAAAGCTTTACAGCACAGAGACACTGCACAATGATATTAACATTCAGAATGCCTCATATTTGAAAAGTGATGACCAAATCTTGCTAATCAAATAGTTACTTTTTGTCAAGAAATTACTATAAATAAACATTGATTGTTTACTGTAAATTGTAAATAAATCATGGGTTTATGTTTTGGTATCTAGTTTAAAGCATTTCAGTCTACACTGTGTAAGTTATTGAATAACAGTTATTATATGACAAGTGATTCCAAACTTTTGAATGGTAGTGTAGGTGTCTGTTAATATCTATGTATTACATTGCAAATTGATACTTCATAATGCAAAATTACAATTCAGTCAGAATCAATGGAAGCACATAGATCCATGCATCTATGGACCACAACATAACTGCAAACTTCATTAGCTACAGGAAAGTGGCGTAAATTGTTGAAGAATTCACCATGTACAGTTGCATGCAAAAGTTTGGGCACCCCTGGTCAAATTATAGGCCTTTTTGATTTTCTAAGTGAAAATAAGTTAATATATGCTAGACAGAGAACACCCCTCTGCACATATTAATGCATGATTACTGTTTACTTTCTAAATTAACCTTATTGGAAAAAAATGTAAAAATTTTTTAAAAAATTAAACTCAGCAAATAAACAGAAACTGTGCTCTAAAATTTGCAGAAAAATGCCATTTTGAAGTTTCCTGTAGAGCATAAGTTAACGTACTTTCACTTAGAAAATCAAAAGAACATGTGTTCAAACTTTGGCATATGACAGTACGATAGCCTAGTAAATGTTTGACGAGGCATATCCACGTTTTTTGGTAGATGTTAGATCCAGGTTTCTTGGTAGATGTTGGATCAGAGTAGGTTCTAGGGTTAAATAGCTTGCTCTGCTGTAGTACAGATCTACACACACTAACAACAACCTACTCTCTGTGTTGGAGCAGGTTCTGGAGGCGACGCGAGTGACCCGCCGAAAAAGCAACATGGCTCTGCGATGGGAGGCAGGAATTTACGCCAACCAGGATGAAGCTGAGGAGGAGGAGGAGGAGGAGGAGGAGGAGGAAGAGTAAAACCAGCCACCCACTAAAGAAAGAGAGAAGGAAGAGTGAGAGGAAAAGAGAACAGATCTGATGAGATGGTTCTTGTATTGAGATGACTACAAGTATTTATTCTGAGTTTATACTGCAGGAGCAGGTCACTGATTCAAGGCACTGCACTGGAGCTGTGTTCACCCAGTGGAGCCAAAGACCCTCCATGCCTCAGAGGAACCTGAGGAACAGCCTTTTCACTGAGAACTCCATGCAACAACACAATGAGCACCAGACCAGACGTCCAAACCTTATAGTGCTTACTGTTTCTTTCCTCATTTCCAAGCTTTTTTCCCAGTGGATGGGTGCAGTAGGTTGGAAAGATGTGCAAAGACAATTTAAATTTTTTATGGTTGGGTATCGATTTCATGAAGTGACATTGAACTGACGTTGCCAAGTGACATATGTGACGATCGAGGTGTGTTATTTAAAGCATAGAGGGTTTATGTGGCTATGGAGACATGACATAGGATGGAACAGATAATGTCTGAATGGAAAATGTCTTTTCAAATAGGAGCACTTGATCTAGATGGAAAAAAAAACAGGGATTTGTTGTAATTAGTGAATTATTTTCATATACACCAAGTTTTATGTAGACTGTGTAAAGCCATGTCTAGTCTTTGTTAAGCCTATAAGTATTTGACTTGGAAAAAGGTGGTTATAAATGCAGTCATAATAACAGCAAAATATATGCAATAACTTGAAAGAGTGGGGGGACATAATTTGCCATATTGAATTAAAATCCACTATCACTGAAAAAAATGTAGTAAGAACCCTTTTAAGAGATGGAAGAGGAAAGTAGGGCATATATTAGACTTTGGCTTTGGCAAGTACTTGTTACAGGCAACAGTAGTTTTGTAGTGCACAATCATATTCAACCAGTCACAAATTAGTCTGCCAGTAACACAGAAAGGAAGAGGAATATTGAAGAAAGCTGTAGAAGGGCCTGTCTAAAAGCTGCTTGACTATTCTTTATTGAAAAACGACAGAGAATTGGCTACAGGAAGGCTTCAGGATGATGCAATCTATGGACGTTTTTTAGGCTAAACCACACGCTGACTGCAGAAGTACTTTCAAACTACATACAGTCTTGGGGTCAATTTAAAACCATTTAATAAACAACACACATTCTTTCCCTCTAGACAATCTTGTTTTGCTTTTCCAGAACGACAATGGGTTTATACTTTGCTATCTTGTATGATATAACACATGCAAAATAAATGAGTACAATACAGAGCAGTTAAGAGAGTTACAGGGTTTTAGAGGACTTGCAAACTAGTTGGACAACCAGCAATCTGTGAACTGTTTTTTTGCTACCGTGTCTTGCATTTACCCAGTCCAATATGGCAGTGGTAAGCATGGTAAGTTCCAAAATGGTTTTGAGAGCAATGAATCAATCAGTCCATCACATAAAATGCAATGGAATCTTTAACAAGTTGACATTTTACTATTGAGCTATGTGGACTGTTTCTCTCCTGGATCATTTTGGCTCATTCAAATAGAATTTGCAACAAAAACGCAACAAAATGAAATACCATTGTTTAATTGTTATACAGAGGCTTTGTAGATAATTCTATTCATATAAATGTTTGAAAAGTGGGAATATTTAGATATTTTTTTGTTTCTATCAGCAGCATATTAAAAAAACATAGCAAGTGCCCGAATTAGCACCCAAACAAGGGGTGGACAGGCGTTCGATAACAAAACAAGACTTGATCACGGAGAACAGCAACGTCTTTGGACATACGTTTTGGAGACTGCTACTTTAATCTTGGATTTTCTGCCTTCTACCTGAGGCCTTTTTCAGCCCAAAAACAATGAAGCTATGGATTCCTGAAAGGAAGCATATCTGAAGAGCACTATTTCTGTGCAGATGTGCAGAAAACTTTCTTTTACACGCATAAATATATAACATGAAAGTATTTAATGTCCCAATATAAGGAAAAAAAGTTTGTAGTTTTTGGATTAGATGCACCCTTTTCTTAACGGCTGTGTTATGATGCGACATACATACTGACAAATAGACAAATTTATACTTAAGTGACATTGTTGATTCAATGGTTATGGGTTTTTTCAAAGGTTTTTTGTTTGATAAGAATGAACTGGCACATAGCCACACCTACAGCACTGTGGCAGAGTAAGAGACCATCCTTCATTTATTTAATTTCCAATCAAAATTGCCATTAAGTATAAGGTATTCTTTGGTTTCAAAAAACAAAATTTAAAGGAAAATAAACATAAAAGCCACAAAAACAAAATATAACTTTTTTAGTATTTACTGTGTCCACACTTTGACCTTTATTACAACGTCCACTGTTTTAGGAGACTCACTTTCAGTTTCTCTAAAGAAATAGAAAGGGATATTTTTTCTCTCCTCCAAAGTTCAGTCTTGATTTCATTTTCTGCTTCTCACCATCCCAATAATCCTAAACACATTCAGTGATGTTGACTGGACATGATTTTCTCCTCTCTCTCAAAGATGAAAGCTTTAAGTACTGTTTATCTGATGGTGGCGGTTTTGGTGCTCTACCAGGTCTTGCACGGTGAATCTCCTGAAATATCTCCTGAAAAATTATACATAATGTACGTACATAATAGCCGTTTTGACCAGAGATGACATAAATAAAGAGTGGTCTCTGACTTTTGCACAGTACATGACAAAGATGCTTTTGCAGGAATATATTTAATGGATTGTTACAGTGTGGTTGTATACCATAATTGTGGATTTTTTTAATTGAGCGAGAGCACAGTAGTATTTTCTTCTTTTGACGGTTGGAACTGAAAAAAAAAAAAAACGAGATTAAGCCGTAACATTAGGAATCTGCTCGGTAAGGATGTGATTTTTACTCAGACTCTTTGATGTGCTATGACTTGGTTAGTAGACAAATATTTTGAATATTATAAGGGGGAAATATTTTTTATTTGTGCAGTGAACTATTTACATTGTATCTATGAATGGGAAATAGTTTTATGGAGGCTGGCATTTTAATACCATGTATGTGCATTTATGGAAGTTTATGGCCTGTACTTCTTTTTTTTCGTGTGTGTGTGTGCGTGCATGTGTGTGTGTGTGTGTGTGCATGAATATGTGTACATGTGTGTTGGGGGAACATGTCCGGAGTGAGCAGTTTATAGAGTTCCTGAAATATATGCAAAGGTCTTTAGCACATCCAGATCATCCTCAGTGGTTCATGATAACATTCTGCATGGAGTGAAAAGAGGTGAACAGAGCTAAGGTGTAGCAATGCGTGTGCTAATAAATTTGCCATATGTATTGTGAGTAGTTTCGAGTAGGAACAGTATGTTTGTTTTAGGAACAGTAAAATTCACAAATACTCAGTGTTTTTCACGCTTTCAGCTGTACTGGTTTGGTATTATATCACTAGCAGAGTTCAATTTGAAGGCATGTTCTTCCAAAGTCTCAGAAATCTGCAAAATAAAGGTTAATTTCTAAAAACAAGCCAATGTTAGAAGGTTATTACCAAAACAACCGATCTAATAGAACAGTAAGGGCACTTGTGGATACCAGAGGGATCGAGAACGAGAAATGGGCAGACGAGCGAGAAAAAGACAATTTCTTAGCTAAGAATTTGTGTTGCGCACTTGATATAATGGTTTTCTACAGTATTTTGCCAGTATATCATGTATTTGCCTTTTCAGTGCATGCAGCCTATTATATTTCTAATGGATGAAACTCTGCATCTAAACGAAACAGAGTCAGAACTGCAGAAAAAAGAATTTTCTCTTCAATCAATGGCTCCAAACAGTGCAGACAGTACTAAACTGTACATATACAATAACGCAAACAACACTGTATGTGGAGTGTGCTATGCTTTATTGTTTTTCAACACAAAGTTAAAAACTTGCTGTTGTTTTTTTGCAATTTGCTGTTCACTTTGGGAGATACCAAAGCAGTTTTGAAGTGGGTGATGCGCTCAAGTTTTTCTTTCTTTTTTTTTAAAAAAAAAAACCCTTCTGTTAATATGTTAACCACTTATTTTATGTTAATATATTCTGCTTATGTTGTTTTATAGTAATTGTAAGGCTCACACTTAAACGCATATATAATTATTTTCTCATTAAAAAGAAAATGCATAAATTTGCTTCTTTCTTTTCCTCGATGAACTGTGTACCTTCATAAATGACCATTCATGTAGTGTTGAAAGAGGAATTCCAGCAACTTTTCAAAATTTCAGCATAATTCAATGGTTAAGATGTAAACACACCGATTCAGAGTGGTTTGGTCTGAAATGCTCTGACCTAGAGAAACTTACAGAGTCAGAATTGTTCATAGTGGTGGTGATAAGAACCAGATGCCTAAAAAAAACCCTCACAGAAAGTTATTACATGAAATGGTTATGAATACTTTGATGCCTAAGACATTGTTGTGCAGCACTTTTGAGATTAGGTTTGGGCTAAAATGTTCATTCATGTTGGAGAGGTACAAAATAGTCCTTAATAAACAATTTTTTTTTTTGTTTTGTAGATTTCCCACTATTTTACCATCATCAACATTACATATAAAGACTCAATGAAGGGCCAGGGGTCAGCAACCCAAATATTAAGTCATTTTGAGTCATTGAGTCATTTTGTTAAGTTTCAACAAAACTCAAACCACCTTGGGAGCCACAACATTTCATGTCCATTTTATTGAAGTAATATTTCACCATCTTGGCTGTTAATATGTCTCAGTATGTGCTAATGTCCTAGTATAGGCTGAAAAACATAATATAAACAAACAAGCAGACTTACTTTGCTCTGCTTTAAGCTTTAGCTCAGATTTAGATGCTATTCTCGCATCTCCGGCAGGAAACTTTTCCGCAAAAAAGTAGAATAGTTTCTTGTAAAAAGTTGAACGTAAAGAGACATTTTACGAGGCTGAAGTCAGCCTCTTATTCGCCATCTTACTATTTGAATTTTCCCGTTCCACCTTAAATGGTGCCTGAGGTACCAGAATGTAGCTAACTATGTAGCTAAATGTTGCACCACTTAAGGTGGAACATGAAAATTCAAACAAGAAGCTGCCAAATGAGAAACTGACTTCAGCTTCATGACTTTTTAGTGTTTGACAGCTTCTTGTTGCAGATTAAACATATCAGGAAACCAGCTGGAGTGATTATAAATGCAAATAAGTCTGTTTGTCTCCAAATCAATGTTTGTCTTAAATCATTCTCTTTGCCTTTTCATTAGCAACTAGCTAGGCAAGATTGTTGTCTGTGTTGCTATGGTGACCAGCAGTCTGCGCAGCAACCTTCAGGGTTAAAGGGTGAATTAGCAGTTATACATTAACTCCACCATTTAAGACCATTTATTGTTAAAACTGTGTTAGAACGATCAGCAGAGCTTCATTTTACTACAAAGGAGGATTATTTTATTTTTACCTAATTCTGCCGTGGAGCTGCAACAGGGCATGCTGTCGACCCTGGTGTAGGTTCACTGGTAGTTTTGGATAGTAAATAAACTGGCTATGTTTGTGTTGTATATACTGCGACCTCTTGTTCCCATCACCACTGTACAGACATCTGAGTCAGTAAGCTTCTCTACAATGAACCACTTCACATGAAATCACTCACAACACTTTATTTACATCTCAACAATTGAACTGTAGAGAAATGGAGAACAAGCAGGGTGTTGTAAGGCAAACAAGTACTCGTCATGTTTTTATTTTATGTAACTGATTAGCTACAGCAAGAAAGATTTCCTATGTACTTTGTGTACAATAAGCAAATTAGATAATTTTGAATACTGAAGAGTTTTGTGAACCCTGGTTCCTATCACCACCAACCAAGAGTCTGAAAGCCAAGAGGCTGAAAATTAAATGCACATTTAGAACTGTACAAGCTGCAGTTTATAGACCACAATCAGTTGAGAGATCTTTACTATGAGGAAGTGAGACGTACACTATAGGTGCCTATTTTAGCTTTTGGTTCTCCAAAATTTATTTTGAAGGCTTTCCTGTAAGTTTATTTCCCTAAAATGCCTGTTTCAAATTACTTATCACTATTTTTGAGGTTGACTACACACAGTTCAGTCCTTGTTTCTATATGTGACAGTGGGCGTTAACTCAGCATGCACTAAGGCTGACCAAGAGAACAGGCTTTATGGTTAAAAGGGTATTCCCCGATTTTTCAAAATTTCTGCATAGTTGAATGGTTGAAATGTAAACAGTCAGTCAGTCAGAGTGGTTTGATGTGAAATCGTTCATTGTAGATAATCGTATTGCCTCAGATTTCTTTACAGTGGTGGTGATAGGAACCAGACGTTACAATGTTAGCAACATAAATGTAGCCATTTTATTTTTATCTTATTTACCATCAAAAAACCAAACAAAAAACATGAGTTTTAATATGTAATGATGATGACGGTAAATTCACAGTAAATCTGAAAAAATAAGCTTAATTTGGGCACGATGTTCATTACAGTGCTATGAAAAGATTTAAAAATGTACATTTTAGGCCAAAACCTTCTCAAAACATTTCTTAAACAGTTTGGACGTCTGGTTCCTATCACCAACACTGTGAAGAATTCTGACTCGTTACGTTTCTCTACAAAGAAGCATTTCACATCAAACCATTTTGAATGACTTTGTTTTTTTTTAAAAAAAAAGCCATTTACTATTTACTTCCCAGTCCATATAATAAGCCATAACTGATTGTCTGTGTACGTGCATGTGAATATTATAATGTCTGCATGCACAGGTTAAAGAAATGCCTGCAGCTCTGTCCTGTAGGTAGTAATAAAATGGGCAGTGCCCACACTGATTCAGATGCTCTGATAAAAGGAGTTATTGCCTTCATGGAAATACATATGCAGGCTTCTTGTAATGTGGGCCCTCAAGTTCATTATTATTTATTCCACCTTCAGTTAATGTTTACTAGAGTATTGCTTCTGAATAAGCAAGAGGACATGGGCAAATGCCAACAGACTCATTACATTTCTATACAGTAATAATTAGTTAATACAATTAAAAACTGAATTTTTAAAAGGCCCATGTCCTACATTTTTCTTGCATTTTATTTTATTTACATTAACGGATACTGCTTGTGCAGATTTATGTACAAAAAAGAATAATTATTTACATAATTATTTTCCAATCTTCCTTTATCCTTCAGGATTAAACAGGCTTGTTCTGTTTCTTTGTCTTTAATACTGATGTATGTAAAAGACATCAGCTCTGATTGGCAGCCCAGTATCGTGCCTCTTTCGAAAAAAGCAATCTGTGCTAAAACACTACTTATAACTTCAGCATGAATGGGCAGAGCTGAATACCTGAACAGGCAGATTTTGGCAGGTTAGCTTCCATACATGGACTACATGGGCTCGGAAGTGAACAATAAGTGTTGAAACAATGTTTACATACTACATACAAAAAATAGAATCCCTTTCTTACCAGGCAGAAGAGAAAAAAGCATTTTTTTTTACCTTCTTTTCTGTTTCTGGCAGCACTGAAGGAGTGTCCACAGCACAAAGGATAACTCACCTACCACCTTGCTGACCAGGCGGAGGAGGAGAAGGCGGAGGGAAGGAGGGAGGAGCGGTTTACGCTTTGCGCTGCCAAATAAAACTTCAGAACAGGTTCTACAAGGAAAGCACAGGAAGCACGAGAGAGAAAGCCGGCTAGAAACAGAGCTCACTCTCCTCAGGTACAGTGAAAGTTTCTCTTTCTTTCAGCTCACTATAGACATTAAAATGTGTCTCTAAGTTGTAACTAGAGATCTCCAAACTTCTCACAGGATAATTAGTTTCTATTTACTTTCTGCCTGCGTGTATCATGAGTAATCCAGAAGTTATTTCACTGAGTAACTTCCCCATCGCTGACAGAGGCTTGTCGGCTTTAGCTTCGGTAAGGGACCGTCTATAAAGTGCGGCTACTGTTTAAAACTTAAAACATTTACAGACTAAAATCACTTGTAGTGTACAGACACTCATCTGACAAAAACACTACAACCGTTAATTTAGTAAAATTTTCTTTGGTTGAATATTAATTAATTTTTATAAATTTGAAATAATTACTGTGAGACATCCATATGATATACAGATCTAAAATCACTTGTAGTGTACAGACACCCATCTGACAAACGTACTACAACCTTTAGTTTGATAAGATATATTTGGTTAAATTTGAAGGATTACTCAAAAGTAATAAATTGCTATTGTGAGACATCCATATGATGTGCAGATCTAAATCAATAGCACACATAAAATATATTGTGTAATGTATTTTATTAATATTATTTGTATTTATCCTAAAGTTTTCTGAGCAAATAAATACTTACTGCCCAATTAAATAGCTTTCTAAATAAAAGTTCTCATGGGGCTAAAACCTTTGCACAGTATTGTATGTTTGTTAATCGGTCCAATGCCAACAAGTCTGTAGAGACGTCCTCTGCTGCCAACAGGGTTGTAGTGACGTCCCTCAATGCCAACGGACTGTGTTGGCATCCTTGTATGCCAACAAGGCTGTGGTGATGTCATTTTATTCTAACGGGGCTGTAATGATGTCCTACGCCAACAAGGCTGTGGTGATGACCTTCTATACCAACGCGACTGTGGTGACGACCTTCTATACCAATGCGACTGTGGTGACGTCTTTTAATACCAATGGGGCTGTGGTGACATCTTCCGATGCCAACAAGGATGTGGTGGCATCCTCTGATGCCAGTAGAGCTGTGGTGATGTCTTCAGATGCCAACAGGGCTGTGGTTACGTTCTCAGGTGCCAACAAGGCCGTAGTGATGTCCTCTGATGCCAACAAGACCGTAGTGATGTCCTCCAATGCCAACAAGGCTGTAGTGACTTCCTCAGATGCCAACAAGGCTGTGGTGACATTCTCAACTACCAACAGGACCGTGATGACATCCTCAACTGTTGGGTGGGCCTGAGCGTTGTCCTCTGACACAGACAAAACTGCAGTCTTGAGGAAGATGAAAGGCCTCTGAAGTACCTTTTTCATCATATCTGGTAAACTTCAATGATCAAGAAGTAAGTTCAGCAGATATGATAAAAAGATTCAAATCTGTTTGTCAGATGGGTGTCTGTACACTACAAGTGATTTTAGATCTGTACGCCATATGGATGTCTCACAGCAGCATTTTTTTAATTTGTTAACATTTAATTAAGGCATATCTTATCAAACTAAAACTTGTAGTTTATTTGTATGATATTCTTTAATAAAGTATAAATGATTTTATTTTACAGCAGGTATGTGTGATGTGTCTCAGTAAAGTTACAGCAGGTTTTGGTCAAGTATTTCCAATGTATGTCTGTATTTTTTCACACAACTTTGTAAAAGTATTAACCTAACTTTAACAAGCTCTCATTCTGGCATCTGCGTCTGACTGACCACTGTGTTTGTCTTATTTAGGGATGAAGGAAGGTGCAAAATGCTCGCTGCGGGAGTGACTGAGTCCACAGACGCTGACCGTAGTTGAGGAAGCATTCATAAAGTCGAGTGCCATCACACCTCAGGCACTCAGTGCTGCTCAGCATTTGCCCGACACACTCTCTCCCTCTCTCTCTCTCTCTCTCTCTCTCTCGCCACATGGCTGTGCTGCGCTCCGCGCGGAAACATGTGGAGCCGGTTGTGTTTTGCGCTCAGATGGCCAGCTCCTTCTTCGACACAGGTCTCCAGATGGTGGTCAAGCAACGAAGCGAGAATGTCACGCGCCCCTCCGACCCGCACGAGGACCAGAACGCCATCGCCAACTTCTACATGACTTTCAACATGCTTACCAAGTTCATCCCAATCCTTCCCGCCCTCATTTTGGCGCAAATTGGAGACAGGGGTTACCGGAAGGTCCCCATCGTAGTCCCTCTGGTAGGATACTCTTTATCCAGGGCTCTTTTATTACTCGAAATCTGGCTGGAGTGGAGGGTTGAGGTAATGTACGCGGCACCTGTGATCCACGGACTGTGTGGGGGCTTCTCGTCCTATTGGGCAGGTGTCATGGCATTGGTGTCGGTTAGCACCAGTGAAGAAGAGCGTTCGCTCCGCATCATGCGCACAGAGCTTGTGTATGGCATCGCCGGCTTTCTGGGCAGCCTGGCCTCAGGTCACCTATTCAAGCTGTACACCGTGGGGATGAAGCAAGGTGTTCTGCTGGCTAGCATGAGCGTGGCGTTGTACGTCTTTTGCCTCCTGTATGCCACATGCGTCCTACAGGTGAGTCGGATCACCTTGGAGCAGCGGGATAGCAACAGCATCGGCATCATCACCCACAGCGGGCAAGACAGGACCATCATCGCGCTGCTCTTTGTTAGTGGGATCTTGTACGACGTAGCCGTCGCAGGGGGCGTAGAGATCTTGTCCGTTTACGTCCTGAAGGCGCCTCTGGAGTGGAGCGCCACCGAGGTGGGCTATGGAAATGCCGCCGGCTCCCTCATCTTCATCACCAGCTTCCTGGGCATGAAGTTCTTCACCAGGTTTGCTGTGACTGACGCGAGCATGATAATGATAGGCATGGTGTCATTCATGATCGGGATCTACTGCATGACCTTCGTCACCACCACTGCCATGTACTTTTTAGGTAGGCTTTCACGCATTTATGTGTTCATTCTATAAAGTACTAGTTTGTGAAGGAAGCCCAATATTATTCATAGTTACCATCCAGTACCTGGTTTGGTTAATCAAAGCTTCAGTAAATTAAATAAGGAGTGCTGGTGATGGAATTTAACAAATCTCAGACGGCTGGGGTGTTAATGAGAAATCTGGAAACAGAAATGAGAAATCTGGAACCAGCTCTGAAAGACATCTGTTACTTTTTTAGAAAACAAGAAATTCTTGTTAATTTTTACTATGTTAATGTTTATTTTCATTTATTCTCATGTTATACAGTGTTTTACAAGCAAAAACACAGTGATTGTCCAGATAAATAGTTTTACTTTTTTGCACAGTAAATTCCAGTTACTCTTCACATTGTGTTGAGATTTTATGGTGAATGGAAACAGAAACAGACTGAAAACAATCACTTTACATTATTCTAAAAATGATTTTCTATCGCATTTTGGAGAGGCAAAGTTTCATTCCGACAGTGACAATACATGTAGATAGATAGATCATTTGATTCAGATACAGTTTATGGCAGAGGTGTTCAAATCATAGCCCTGGAGGCCTACAGATTTTCCACCCTTTATCTTTATAGTTTAGTGTGACGACTTATTGACCTATTGACCTTAACTGTTCAAATAACTGTCAGTGATGATGAAATCTAGGACCAGATTTAGCTGCAAACTCAGACTTGAGGGCCAGATTTGATATCTGATTTACAGCATCAAAGTCAAATACTTTTTCACAAATATGTTAGCAGAAAAGCGGAATGTGTCACAGCAGAAAAGGTAAGATGGCAATAAATACAATCCTTTATCTCAAGACAAAAACAGAAGGCTGCCCAGATCTGCAAATGAGGAACTGAGATAGGGAAGCCATTGGCGAATGATGTGTGCGCGATGTAGATAAAGACGCTGCCAAGTCTGTGCTTGCAAGACGTGAACGTGAACAACTTCCTCGCAAGGGTCAAACCACTTCAGTGAAAACACACTTTTCAGCTCTGCACTATTTACCAAATCACTGGACACTCAAATAACTGATCTGTTTTCTCTTTTACAGCTCGTTCTATCATGTTGTTTGCGCTGATCCCCATGCCAACCATTCGCTCTCTGCTGTCCAAGCAGGTTCGAGGAACATCATATGGTAAGATCCAGTTCACCTTGAGCCCACATTATGGTCTGTTGGCTTCTATGCGTTACTTGTATCACCACTTTTTTTGAACACTGACACCGATTGTGCTCCTAGCAGTGAAAGACACATTAAAGCAACACAGATTCAGTATTACTTTTGGTTAAGATAGAACTGCAGTTTAGATTATCAGCTGTCAAAAATAATTCATTTAATAGATGGACTCAGGGTGAAAGAAGAAGTGAAACCACATTCTGGTGTATTCGAGGGAGGGAACCTAATGATGTTGTTATTCTGAGAACCACAGCATTTCTCCCCTTTCCTTCAACTCTGGCCTGTAGGTGAGAAGACTGAGAGCCCATACGCTGAACTCGCAGACCCTGTTTCATTCTGAAACTTTCCTTTTGCTTTGTGTTTGAGGGGAGCAAAACCCAAAAAAACTATGTCTGTGTCTCAATTTCACTCACTAGTTCCATACAGAGTGAATCAGTACATAGTAAATACGGATTTGGGCACTGGCTACAGTTGTGCTTAAAAGTTTGTGAAAGATTAGAATTTTCTATATTTTTGCATAAATTTGACCTAAAACTTCAACAGATTTTCACACAAGTCCTAAAAGCTGATAAAGAGAACAAAATTAAACAAATGAAACAAAAATATTAGCCTTGGCTATTTATTTATTGATGAAATAATCCAATATTACCTATCTGTGAGTGTGAACCTTTGCTTGCAGTATCTGGTGTGACCCCTTTGTGCAGCAAGGTGATATGTGTGATGGTGGACTCATGAACATTAACATTAGCCACTGTGCGATAGGCCTTAGTTGCTTAGAGGGTTACCCTGGGTTCCTTTGTGACCTCACAGACTATTACACGCCTTGGTGTGATCTTTGTTGGTCAACCACTCCTGGGGGGCATAACAATGGTCTCGAATTTCCTCCATTTGTACACAGTTTGTCTGACTGTCTGACTGTCCAAACTCTTTAAAGATGGTTTTGTAACATTTTCCAGCCTGATGAGCATCAACAACACCATTCCTCAGAGGTTTTCAGAAATCTCCTTTGTTCGTGCCTTTATACACTTCCACAAACATGCTGTGAAGATCAGACTGTGACAGATGAGTGTTCTTTAAATAAAACAGGGTGGTCATTCACAACTGATTGCCATCCCATTGATTGAACACACCTGACTCTATTCAAAGTATCTGCTAACCCTGAAGGTTCACATACTTGTTACTCACAAATACGTATTACTGAACACGCCTTATGTCACTGCAGTTCTCAGACTTGTTTAGATGCAACACACCTCATACAGTTGGCTTTTAACTCACTCATGTTTAGCAGGTGTAAATTCTTTACAAGGGGTGCTTTTAGCATACAGCTTTTGGTGCTTCTTAAAAGTGGTACCATACATGACACTTCAGAGCTGGATACATCCATATTTTCACTACCAACAGCTCTCCCTATAGTATAGCTAAAGAGACCAGAAACTACGTAATGTTCTAAGGCAGCCAGCTCATCAGAGACACTCCCATGCCAGCCTTCAGCAAGCAAATGGATAGCAAGTACAGGTTCTGCCACTGGAAGTAGTACAAAGGCAGTACAAAGTTAGGTGGTATTTTAAGTTGCTCTGGGTGGAGCACTGCCTGCTGAAGTTATTTAATACTATGTATTTGACTCCAAGTGAGGATTTAGTGTCAGTCAAGTGTACTGATAACAGAAATTAGTCTCAAGAACCACAGGGTTACTTTCTTATAATCTCAAGGACCACAGTGTTACTTGCTTATTTTTCATGATAAGATGCTCTGCTTGTGATAAACATACAGAAATTCATGTCTAAAATCAGTGAAGCATCTCTATAGAGAATAAATGTCATATAATGTTTGTTGCCTGTAATTTCTAACTTTTCTTGAGGACAGGAAAAGCTAAAGCATGTTTAAAATTTGAGAGGATGCAGTTTTCATATTTAAATGAAATAATGTTCTGTAATTCCAAATACGCTGTTCACAAAGAAGATACAAATAGATGCTTGTCCCCCAAAGTACAAATGCTGTAAATGTACAAAATGGTCCTTACAGGGCAATTCCACCATTTTTAAATTTCCACATAATTAAGTGTGTAAGATGTCATTCAGAATGGTTTAATGTGAAATGCTCAGTTCTAGAGAAACTTACTGATTCAGAACTGGTCACAGTGGTGGTGGTGATAGGAACAGACATATGAAGAGTATGATGCCTCTAAAAGCCGCATCACAGAAAGTAACTAAATAAAGTGGTCATAAACACACTGCCTGACGTCTGAGACATTGTTTTATGCAAGTTAGTTTTCATTTTTTGCCTAAAGTGTATTTTTATAATGAAAAAAATTGTTTTCTGTAGAGGATGTGTTCACTTATTTTTACTTCATCTAAACATGTCATTTGACCAGGGGTGTTCAAACTACAACCTCCCTTGACCACTAAGGGATGCTGTTGACCAAGGATTCATAATTTGAAAACTCATTTTTGTGTTTTCACTCAATCCCCACAGGAATGACCTTTATATGCCTCCAGCTGTCCTTCAGACTGGCTAGTTTAGCTACAACACCCATCTATACCAAAATCTACGAGTCCACACTGGACACCTTTCCTGGGTTTGTCTTCACCTTATCCAGCATCATCACTTTTGTCTCCATTATACCTATCAGGTAAACTTGTCATTTGAAATATATTCATGTATTTTTTTCTTACACATAATTCTAAAAAAGTAAACATACATTTGTTTAGCAGATAAATTTAAAATATATCACTAAACTATGTTTCCTTTTCTTTACAAAGTGTTGTAGGCTGCCACACTGCAAAGCACGAGAATTATGAGAGAATTCAAGGGAACTAATACTGTCAAACCACCGTCAGAACAGAAGGCAGAATGAGTGAACGAGTGCATCTTGTTCTATCACTAGCTCTGAAAACATGTCACATGAAATGTTCATTCTGAACGGGTGCAGCTCTCCACTTTTCACAACACATTTGTGTCTACTGGAGGTTTAGTAGCATTATTGCATTTTATTTTTACTCAGTGATTTTATTTTAAAGTGGACTTTAAAATAGTCTATGTTTCTTACTTGTGAGATGTTTTTGTACTTCTTAGCTCTTTGTGTGCTGTACATTGTTACATCATTGTCACAGTGTTAAGTTTAGCTTTATCTTACCAAGTGTCATTGCTTTGTGAATATGAACAGTGTATAGGTGTTTACATGGCCTTTAACCACAATGATGTTGAATTTATGAATTTTGATTTCATCAGGAGACTGACCATTTAATAATGGCATTATTTTTATTATTATTATTATTATTATTATTATTATTAATAATAATAATAATAATAATAATAATAACCCTTTTTCTAAACGGCTCATTATTTAAAATTTGTTGATTAAAGATTGTAGCATTAAAATATCAGTGTACAAGCTATTTGTCTTGCAATTTAAACATGAAAAATCAACATTACAGTAAACAACTCACACAAAAGGGAAGATATGGGATGCAAGGGACCAAAACCTTATAGGGAGTCAAAATAATACAGAGGTCATTCATAATACAAAAGTATTATTCCCTCAGTTTTACTATTTCTTTCACCCTGCCATTCACTTTTGAACTCTTAATTACATAAAAAAACATGAAGATATACTGTAATCATGAAAAACTGAGAAGTAAAATAACATATGTTGCTGCTAAAGAAAACTATTGACAAACAGAAGATGATGTATTTCTATTGTCTTTGTTTAATGTCTGGTTGATGTACTGCATGTGCACAATGTAGGCTGCAGGCATATTTCATATTTAAAAAATTACAACGTTGAGTCGCGTAGCTGCCTTAATTTTCACATCACATACGCTTTATGGAGACATCGATTAAAGTGCATTCAAGGCAAAATGAAAAATGTAACCATTGCTTCATCTGTTGTGAACATACATATTTGCCTCTTACAGTGGTGCCACAATAGTCACTAAAACAACATTTGCCGGTTTAAAGGCTAAGAAAATCCCCTTCTGATGATGTACTATGAAGGTGGGAGGAACTACTGAAAAACTACAAGGGCCCTGGGTCAGATATTCGACTGGCGAATGCAGAAGGAAACTAACTACTGCAAAAAAAGCTGTATTTATTAGTCTCTACATCAGTGGCTACGCTAGCAGTCACAAATTCTTTATCTCATTGAGGAGGTTTCCAGTGGTTATGGGATGTATTTGTGTAATGCATGCTGGGAACTGTAGTGAGAGAACAGTGATGGAAAAAAAGCACAAAAAGGATACAAAATCATGAATTCTGCCAAAACAATAAGGTTGAGGGATTCAATACTGCACTACCGAAGTACTTGGTGGCAGTCTTGGTGTAAATCTGGATGAAGACAACAACAACAACGAAAACATTAAGTTAAAATCACAATAATCACATTATGTGGTCTCTGTTGCACTTGGTATTCTCTGGCTAAAACGAAAAATGTAACCATTGTTACATCTGCTGTAAACATGCCTACTCACCTCCTGCGGTGCCACAATAGCCATTAGAATTAGCACCGGACGATTTTCACGATTAATTCAGTTAATTCGAATTAACGTTTTCACACAATGTTAGAAATGAGACAATTAAGACTGTACAAGTTTACAAACCTATTCAAACTTTCAAAACATATGAAAAACGCATCTTAAATAAAAAACGCCGACTCTCACAGCACGCGGTAGAAAAAAAAACACACAAACACTCCAAGATGGCGGCACGCGGCGCTTCGCAGAGGAGTGAGCTAGTACCAAAGAAAGGTGGAAACATCAGTTCAGTGGTATGGAACTTATGTTGAAAAGGCAGATGTTGAACAAATTCATGTGAAGTGTAAGTTGCGTCGAAATACAGCTGCAACCAAATGTAGCAGTACGGCGAATCTGTTCCTGCTCTTACGACACAAACACCCAGTGAAACGGGAGAAATGCGTGAAACAACGCGATGAAAATGAGCGAGTTTTCAGCCGGCTGGGCACGCTGTTAAGGCCTCAGCACTTCTTGTGAAACGAAGTTCTCGAGGGTTGTGCGAAGCCGAAAGCGCCGATTCTTTCACTGTTCTAACTATGGTGACGTTTTAGTTCAGAATACCGCCACCATTTAAGGTGGAACTGGAAAATTCAAACAAGAAGCTGGTGAATAGAAAGCCAACTTCAGCCTCGTCCTCTTGTGAAACTACATATAATATAACCTATATGTTTTGGTGCTTAGTACTAGTTAACATCTTACATTAAGGAAATATTCATTGTTTATTTAACAAATGCGCGTTTTACAGTGAACTATTAGTGTGTCTGCCAAAGCCGAAGCTCCTCAAATTTATCCATCTTTGTTTTATGGCACGCCTCTTTTTTACCGACCAATCACAGGCTTTGTCGCGTAGCGTCTTCGTCTGCGGAGTTCGCCCAGCTGCCATGTGCGCGACACGGCGGACGAACCCTCCGCGCAACGTCTGCGGTTGTACGTTTTGTCCGTTATTACGTCACATTGATCACTGAAGCCAGACGAACATCCTCTCGGCAAGAAGTACGCCGAGGCCTTTCAAATGGCGTCTCTCAAGCCTGAAACAGTAGACAGGCTTGTGTTACTTTCAAGAAACCTGTAAAGAAGTTTGTGCTCTGCACTTTTCTTAATGTAAGGAGGTCATGCTTGCACATTATTTAAAGTGAGAGTTGCCTGTGAGCTTTAAGGAAGCTGCTTGCTATTCTTAAAAGAATATCACTAATTAATATGGTTCTTTTATGTTTTAATTATAAATTTTGTTGTGCTTGCACAGTTTGAGTCCCTTGAAAGGATATTTAAAAGTAACCACTATTTGCACAATATAATTGTTATAGGTGGTGCTGTTACTATTTTTGCAATTCTGCAGTCTTTTAAATTAAAGTGCAAAACAGAAATTCTTTTTTCAAAGGCATTATACAAGAACCAAAAAAAAAAAAAAATCAGAATCGGGAATCGTTAATAAATGTGAAAATAATGGAGATTTTACTTTTTTCAATATTGCCCAGCCCTAATTATCATAATTTTTTTTTTGGTTTAAAGGCTAGAAAAAAAACCCTTTCTGATGATTTGTTTTGAAGGTGGGAGGAAGTTTTGGAAAACGACAAGAACACTGGCCAATTCCAGAAGAAAGCCTGATTGCTAACATTACAGCCAGAAAGACAAATATCACCTCTATTTATTAGCCTCTACATAAATGGTACATCAATGCATTTCTGTATTGTAACACTGTATGTCCAAAAGTATTTAGACACTGCTTCTAATTAGTGCATTCAGCTACTTTAAGGTGCACCTATTACTGACACAGGAGTTGAACTGAACGCACAGTTTGCATAATCTAAACAGAAAAGCATTGCCAATAAAATGAGAAACACTGGAGCAGCTGCATATAAGCCTAAGGTCACCATGTCTAATGCAAAGTGTTAGCTAGAAAGGTATAAAGCCAAGATTAGTGGAAAGGGGCTTCCAGGGTTTTTCCAAGATATGAGCCCTTTAAAAAATATAACAGCCTTGTGCAATATTACCCAGCGTCCCATAATACCTGAGACCCTGGGAAAGACACTGAAGGGTTGTCTACAGCCCGAAGGATTTCCCCTACCAGAAATCCCGAGATCCCATTTTGATAACCGAGGTGGTAGGGGGGGGTGGCGCGAGAGGGGATTTACTGGTGCTTCGCACTGCCAAATAAAACTTCAGAACAGGTTCTGCAAGGAAAGCACAGAAAGCACGAACCCGCTCCACTGCACACAGAGAGCGAGAAACCTGGCTATAAGCAGAGCTCTCTCTCTTCAGGTACAGTGAAAGTTTCTTTTTCTTTCAGCAGGCTACTCACTGAGTAACTCCCCATCGCTGACAGAGGCTTGTCTGCTTTCAGCCTCTGCTAATGTCTAAAAGCTGTACAGCAGCTAAAACGTGTAAATATCGGTCTGCACGACTCATTCGGGCGTTCGCGTCTGACTGACCGCGTGTTTGTCTTATTTAGGGACGGAGGAAGGCGCACAATGCTTGTTGTGGGCGTGAATGTGTTTACAGGCGAGGACCAAAGTTGAAGAAGCATCCACAAAGTCGAGTGCCATCACGCCTCAGGCACTCAGTGCTGCTCAGTGTTTGCCTGACGGTCTCTCTCTCTCCCCGTCTCTCTCTGTGTCTCTCTCTTTCTCTTGGGCGACATGGCCATGCTGCAGTCCATACAGAAACACGTGGAGACAATGGTGTTTTGCATTTAGATGGCCAGGGCCTTCTTCGACACAGGTCTCCAGATGGTGGTCAAACAACGAAGCAAGAACGCTGTGAGCCCCTCCGACCCACACAAGGACCAGAACACCATCGCCAACTTCTACATGATTTTCAACATGCTGACAGACTTCATCCCAATCCTTCCCGGCCTCATTTTGGCGCAAATTGGAGACAGGAGTTACCGGAAGGTCCCCATCGTAGGCCCTCTGGTAGGATACTCTTTGTCCAGGGCTCTTTTATTACTTGTCATCTGGCTGGAGTGGAGGATTGAGGTGATGTACACGGCACCAGTGATCTACGGACTGTGTGGGGGCTTCTCGTTCTACTGGGCAGGCGTCATGGCACTGGTGTAGGTTAGTACCAGCGAAAAAGAGCGTTCGCTCCGCATCATGTGCACGGAGCTCATGTACGGTATAGCCGGCTTTCTGGGCAGCCTGGCCTCAGGTCACCTGTTCCAGCTGTACACCGTGGGGATGAAGCAAGGTGTTCTGCTGGCTAGCATGAGCGTGGCGCTGTACGTCTTCTGCCTCCTACAGGTGAGTCGGATCACCTTGGAGCAGCGGGATAGCAACAGCATTGGCATCATCACCCACAGCGGGCAAGACAGGACCATCATTGCGCTGCTCTTCGTTAGTGGGATCTTGTATGACGTAGCCGTCGCAGGGGGTGTAGAGATCTTGTCCGTTTACGTCCTGAAGGCGCCTCTGGAGTGGAGCGCCACCGAGGTGGGCTATGGGAACGCCGCCGGCTCCCTCATCTTCATCATCACCTTCCTGGGCATAAAGTCATTCATGACCGGGATCTACTTCATGACCTTCGTCACCACCACTGCCATGTACTTTTTAGGTAGGCTTTCATACATTCCTGCATTCATTCATTCATTCGTTTATTCATTTTAAAAAGTATTGGTTTATGTTTCTCAAGGTTTTTGTTGAATCATTTCCAAACGTCGTGTCAACAAAGCCCAATATTATTTGTAGTTACCATCCAGTACCTGGTTTGGGTAATCAGTGCTCCAATAAATTAAATAAGA